ACAACTCAACAGACAATGAATGGCCGAATCTGACAGGTACAATCCTGTGGCGTTTCGAATTAAATAAGGTAGGCATTCCGAAATATCGCATGCCCACATAATACAGTGTCTCGATATCACCGGATACCTTTGTTATTTTGCGATCTCTTCCTTGCCCCTTCCAGAAGCCTGTATGCTGACTATACAACACGGTTTCGAATTTGCGAAAAATAACCAGTCTCCATGTTTCCCATTCCCCCCTCCTCCCCTTCAATGGTAGAAAAGTTGAAATATAGTTCACATGTTGCTATTCTCCTTTTCAAACGACCATGGACTGTGACGATGGAAGATGAAAGAGAAGTAGCAAAAAGATTTTCTAGTCAGAATAGAAAAAAGGTCCATAAAGATTTTTTTTTTTTTCGTTCAGTTAAAGCGCAAACTCAGTTAAGCAGGCTCTGATAATCAGGACTCTGCTATTTATGAAAAAATATACGGAAGACCGTTTTGACAAACTAAAATTTTAATTAATAAAAAATACAAAATTACTAATAATTAATATTTGATTAATAAACGGTTATTGATATTAAATATATAATTTTCCGATTTCTTTCTAACAACATATCTAAGGTGCAGCCAAACTTTTATTATTATTATTATGCTGTTATCAAATCGCAAATAAAAATTAAATGTTTCTTGATAACTTAATAAGAATTTTTAAGAATGCCTCAGACAATGCATCAATTCTTAAAAATAGACAACCTTGTTATTTCATTGAGGATTTAATGTCATCAAGACATATATCTTTGATGATATTATTTTTTCTATATATTATTTTTTGAAAGATATTAAATATTTGGTATCTAGTTATTGTTAGACCTCAATAAAATTCATTTATTTCAATTATAAGTAGTACTATTCTTAAAACTTCAATCTTATTAAACTTTAATCTTAGTCTTAATTTTTTTACTATTCTTAAAACTTTAAAAAAAAATTTGAAATTTATTACTATTAGCTATTTACATTATTACAATCCTATTTAACTGGGGGAAAAAAATAATAAGCCATTTGATATTTATGAAAGAGATTAAATATATCAACATAATTTTTCTTTCTTTGTTAAGAAGAAAACAAAAGCAAAATGTCTGAAAATCACTTATACGTAGAAATATAATTTCTATCGCCATTCTATTGACTTAATTATTTTAATATATGATAAGGTTTTATAAAAACGATTAATCTAAATTTATATGAATGAATCTAAATGTGCATAATTGTAATTTACTTCTAACTTAGCATCACGTTAGCTCTAATATTTCTACTCCTAACTTGCTAACTTGGGGGTGCACCGAACTGTGAGCTTCAGCAGGAAATCATGGGATCTTGATCTCAAAAACCCATGCTCCTCAAGATCTCGCTGTGATCCAATCATCTGCCTCTTGCTGAAAGAAGACTTTGCATAAAACCTATCGTGATTTTCCCCCTGTTATTCAATTCCTCCTATTAGTTCACACTCTTCCTATATATATCTTGTTCAAATTTTCAATCGTTCATAAAATATTTTTTATTCATCCACTCAACTTCAAATACATTTTTTTTTTTTTGAACTTGTATGGATGACATTGGATGTTAATACAGTTTTTTTTTTCAAATATTAATTCATTAATTAAATTTAATTAATTAATTTTATTTTTTTTTAGATTTAAGTTGCACATATCTACCAATAGATGGCGCCAGATAAACTTAAAAAAATGAATGAAAATTATTTATAAAGGACTTTCTGCAATAGAGTGAAAAAGTAGGAATTGACTTTATTTTTTTTTTTTTTTTTTTTTTTTTAAAATTACTTGTTACAAGGAGAGTTTTAAAGAATAACTGAATAACGTACATAGCGCTCGTGTGATCCAAACTAACCAATGTTAATTTTTTTATTTTTTTATTTTAACATAAAAATTTTTAATAAAAATTATTTACATTAACCTGCAACAAATCAACTTGCTTAATGTCATTGTGTTAATCCAAATTCTTCTGTGACAATGGTGTGCCAAAGACTTTTAATGAATTCGAGACTTTATATTACAAAATAAAAGAGACCATTAACGAGAACAAATTCAATAAAAATAAAACTATTTGCCTTACATTCACATTTTTTATTTAAAAAATTATATGTGTTTCTAAAAAAAATTTTAATTTTTTTTAACAATTATAGAATTATTTATAGAAAAGTTGTAGAATAGTATCTTTAATTTTTTAAAAGAAAAGAATTACTTCCATTTTTCTTTTATGAAAAATTTCATTATTTTTTAGTTTTCAATAAAGTGTTTTAGAAATATCAACTAAAAATTAATTCTTTTAAAACCCTGCCACCTCCAATCAATTTATATTTTTTGCCGTGGTCTTTTATACAATATTTTAATTACAAACATGCATCTTTTTTAATTTCCGCACATATGTCGCCAATTACAACAGGACTTTTTTTTTAAGAGTTTTATTTATAAGAAAAAATTTTCCAATTTCTTAACAATAGCTTTTTTTATGATATATTTATTATAGTATTTGAGCATTTGCCGATATAAATCTAACTTCGTTTTCTTCAGAAGAAAAAATTTTCATAATCATACTTATACAAAATATTAAAAGAATATCTCTTAATACTGTGAAATGTTTTAAAAGGTGCGTTAATCGTTAGGTTTAAAATCAAGAAATTTCTCTCTTTCTTTCCTTTTATTTGAAATTATTGAACCATTTTTTAAAAACTTTTTCACTATAAATCTCCCAAAATAAATATAATACTTATCCGGTTTAATGTTTCATAACTAAACGATGGCATTCAAAATTAAACTGCTGCAGTTATCTTTATCTACTTTCTACTCAGTAAACATTTAATATTACAGGTGTGGATTTTTTTATTTTGTAATTGTTTTCTTAGAAAGCAATGTGAAATATGACATTGAGAAATAATGAAAAATTTTACGAAAAATAGTTTTTTAAATGGTATTAAAAAAACATATAGAAAATGAATTTATGAATTGTCTTCATTGTGCTTTTAAAACCTTTGAAATCTTAATTAGTGCTGCCACCTTGTGAACATTTTGAGAAACAATTGCATAATATTAAGGGTGTTGGGAAAGCGAAAATCAACTGGAATAACAATTTTTATTTTATTGCTGCATTAAATAATGCAATATTTTATCTTATATATATATATACAAATATTATTTATTTGAATATATGAAAATTTCAAAATTACTATACTTTCCCGTCAGCTGTCAATGCTGACATGACGTTTGAAGAAGAAAATTAAAAATGTAATTAGGAGCAAATTTTTAAAAGAGAAATTGATTACCGCTGCAAGTAAACACATTTAGTCTTTAAATAATGGTGACAATTAACACATCTGAATTTACTTCTCCAATTCTGAACTGTTGAAAACGACATTTCTAGAGAAAACTGAATCTCAAATGAATCTAACAATTACGTTACTTTTATACTTATACGTAAAAATGTTTTGTTTCTCGGCATCAATATTCCAAACTTTGAGGTATTAGATGCAGTTTCTCTTTCAATGCAAACTTAATGCATTTAAGAATCGCTCTTTAAATAAAATGAAATTATCCATGACTTTCTTCCACTGCGTAAAAATGTTAAGAAAATATTGTTTACTGAGAACGAAAACTATTAGAATGCCACTAAAATTATATATAATTACCATAACTGCGCTCAAAAATATTTTTAAAGATAAGGAAGGGAATATTACACACAAATGAAGATTTTAATAAAATTCCGATTACATATCTTTATATAAATGCCTGTAATGAATGTATATATAGTTATGAATATTTATGGTTTTATGAATTTTTATGATTTCATGAATGTATGAATTTTTATGATTTCATGAATGCATGAATGTTTATGGTTTCAAGAATGCATGAATGTTTATCGTTTCAAGAATGCATGAATGTTTATGGTTTCATGAATGTATGAGAGTTTATGGTTTCATATACCTTTTCTCATTTACAATTAAACATTTTTTTTATGCATGTATTCCATAAATCTGAATGATGTCAAAACTGATTTTCAGTTTAAAAATTTTATTTATTGTAATTTTTAAGAATAGAATAAAAAATTTATGTTAAAATTTGTATAACATGCTGTGTTAAACTTCCATTTTGCTAAGCATCATTGTTTCTGAGGAAAAGGCATATAAAGATGATGAATTTAACATGTAATAAATAAAGCGTTTCTGTGGCCTTAAACTACTATATAACGAATATTTTATTTTTAATTATGGGGGCATTTAGTGTTTATAATATTACGGTTTTTCTTTAGATTTACTTTTTTTTTCCAGAAAATAACTGGGGGCTCTGTTCCAATGGGAAACAACAACTCGGCTGTGGACCTCAGGAAACATTTAGATCTTGCGCAGATATTGCAATTTATCCTGAAGATCCTGAAGAATAACATAAATTTATGTAAAAAATGGAGTAAAGATTTGTATATTATACTTCAATTTCAATAAATTATAGCTTAATTCGCCATAAAATACTAAATATATTTTAGTTTGAAAATTATTCTTATATACTAAATTAAGAAAAATTATAATAAACTTGAATATTTAAGAACATTTAAAGGAAAATCATTTTTGATTCTGAGCTAGTTAAAATTGGGTGAAATTCGTTTAGAATGCGTCATATGTACAGAAATAATAAAATAAAGAAAAAATTTAAACATTTAAAATTGGTTTGTTACGAACAACTTTTATACATGATACGTTAGGTGTTTCACATTTCTGACACACATGTTTCTGAAACATTCTAAGTATTCATAGCATGATTGGGCATTCCCAATATTGACATTCCAATCACCTTTCTACTGAATTCGGTGTTCATGGTACTGATGGCAAAAAGTCCTTTTCAACAATTTCATGACTGCCCACTTAAAGATTACATCGTTTCTTAAGTTTGACACGCGAGTCTATATTGGAAACATTTCGGACTTATGGTAATTTTAAGATGAGATTAGCCAACGGCCATACCATGCTGAATATACCGATTCTCGTTAGATCACCGAAGTCAAGCATCATTGGGCGCGGTCAGTACTTGGGTGGGTGACCATCTGGGAACACCGCGTGCCGTTGGCAAATTTGGGACCTGAATGGCCGAGTGTCTGGCGCTCGGTGCCAGAGGTATCGGGTTCAAATCCCGGCGGTGCCATGGATGTTTGTAGTGATTCGGAATCCACTTTAAGCCGTAGGTCCCGGTCTCCCATGACTGCAAGAGCGTCACGGAGCCAAAGTCAGACTTCTACCTACGGGTGCTCCATCACAGCAGAAGCTGCTTCCTTCCCCTTCAATCATGAGTACGTATGGGCTCGTGGGCTTGGCCAGCCAAGTGGGATAAGAAACAACAACAAACAAGATGAGATTTATAAAGTACAAAAGTGTTAAATAAGTACTAAGTTCTCGAAATTGTGAAGTTTTTGAAATAATATATTTTATGAAATTATTTAATTGAAAATTTTAGAAAAAAAATCATTTTTAAAATCCTCTGCCAAAAAAGTGTTTACATCTGTTGCTTTTGGAGACGAAAGTGAAATTTTAGTTTTAATAAAATTGCTTCGTGCATTTTTTAAAGATTGCTTTATAATTTTGGGTAAATTTATAATTGTATATAGATGTTTATTATTTTTAATTGAAATCTTCTATCAAATAGAAAGGAGAAACCCTTCCAAAAAAAGTCATTTTCTTTAAACCAATTAATTTCTTAAATGTCTAATTAGCATTAATCCTAAATAGGCTCTAATGAAATTTATTACTAAATATGTGTTTTAATTAAGTTATGTTAACTAGAAATACATTTTATATTACTTTTTTTAATTTATGTATTATTATTATGATCATTTTACCTGATCCAAAATTATTGAAAAATCATCTTTTTAATTTTCAAAACTAAAAAAGAGTGTTAAAAAAATGCGAAATCTTTGGTAAAATTTTACTGGGAAACCATATAAGAATTCAGTGTAAAATTTAAAATAAATTAAAGTGTCTTGAATTTATGTTTTACCAAAATTATATAAGAAATTGATAAATCAATTATAATATTATCTCAAATTTCATTTTAAACCACATTAAAGTTTACATTTTTCGCGACCTACATAATCGATTTATTAGCATAAACTGTAAATTTCTAAGCACTGCTGCCATCTAGGAACATTTTTATGAAAATAAATAAGTATTAAACAATATGTTTTGCTTACAGTAAATTGTATTATAATTAATAGAATTTGGAGTCACTATTATAATTAATTAAAATTATTTTTAAGAATAAAATACCTTTTTTATGAAAAGAATTTTTTTTTTCTACTAAAATTATTAATGCTTTTGAAATTAACTTATTTTTACTATTTCATGCATATTAGCAAAAACGCAATAGACAGCCCAACACATTAAAATATTTTAAATAATATTTAATACTTTAAATTATTTATTTTATATGTGATTAAATATAAAATTATAAAATGGCATTATTAAAATAGATAATTAATGAGATTTTAAAATATTAAGAAATATTTAATTCTAAAGTTTTTAACCGAAATATACTATTATTAGGAAATATTAATATATATTATTAATATTAAATTATATATTATATTTCAATATATTATTATTAAATGTTTAAAATATATAAGATTTATTTTTAAAATTTTTATTCATAAAATCCTTTTTTATAATTTTTATCCTTTATGTATAAAAATTTTTTATATAAATATATAAATTTTATATATATAAGCTTTTTATGATAAATATTTATTGAATGAAATAAAAAAAATATTTTTTTCCCCTTTAATAACCCTTTTTTTTTCCCTTTAATTGCATTTTAAATTCATTCAATTGGTTTTGAAGGAAAGTTCGAAAAGGAAATTTTGCTTTATTTCTTTGAAATATCAAATTTTTATCATATGTATCAATTTAGTGGAATTAATAAATATCAAAATGAACCAAAAATTTGTAAAAAAAATAACATTTTGTAAATAAAAAACGAACGCCGAGAATCATTTAATTTCTGCTGCCATCTAGTGTCGACAAAAGTTATTATTAATAATTCAGAGCCTTTAATCGTCTATATTTTCAACTCGTAGTATCGTGGATGGTGGAGAAAAATGTGATATATTGAAACACGATGTAACTGACCATTTGTCTTGATTGTGGAAAGTCCTAGTTTATTACCGAGACATTAAAATTACCAGATATCGTTAATTATCAAGATGTTTATTAATTGCTTAAAGAAATCTTTTTTGCTTTCATTAATTAAATGGAACTTAAGGCAATACTAACTTCATATTAAAGCTAGTCTGACTGGCTTAGGACGAGGGATTGGTTTTTCATAGAGATAAATCCTTACAAAGTGAAGCATCAACAACCATCGACACCATCATATGCAATTTTCTAATGATAATAATTTCAATGATGAATTTTGTTTAATGTTTTTCGTTGAAATATTTTCAATTTCATGTTAAATCGTTTCTTTCTTCCACTTTTATCTGCTTACAAAACACTTTCTGTTATATAAGCACTTTCTGTTGGAAAGCACTTTTCCTTTCAATTATCAAAAATTATTGTATTTTGACTAATATAATAATTTTTGAAGCTTCTTTTATTAAAATTTATGTAAATCATAATGATATGCATTATAAAATTAAAAACGACAGTTTTTTTCTTTTATTTTTGAAGGCATTTTTGTATTTAAAAAATATTGTTAGAAAAAAAAATTATTGCAATTAAATCATTTCATTTTAAGCATTACATATTGAATCGCAATAAGAATGATCCTATTTAAAAAAATACGAAAAAAATTCTCCCTTCTATATGAAATAATGTAACATATTCATTCGGATCCGAAAAGACAATAGAAAGCATGCAACTGATGTTTCGACGAACTCTTTTACAACTTATCATTTCATCGTAGAACTTTTTAAAAACGACTATGCCTTTATACAATTCTAGATAGAATATTTAATTTATGAATAAATATATTTTTAATACAAATCTAAAAAAATCTTCCAAACATATTTGTAGATAATATTTTCTGAAATGTCTATGCATATATTTAATTCCAAGTATTTATTATTATTATTTTTATTTCTTACATAACGTTTGTTGAAATATCTTTCTTCACATCTTGATCAGTAATTTTCAAGATTTATAATATTATTGCTCTATCCAGCAACTGAATTGAATTTGTTTACATAATGATTTTAAAAAACTGATATTCACTCACAAATTTTTTATTTTGCATAATTTGATTGAAATGAATAATAAAGACAGTGGTTGTATGCGCTTCCCTAATGTCGCAAATCTATCAACGTTCGATAATAACAACCAATTCATGAAGCAGAAATTAGCCAATTAGGTCATCAATTAAGTGCATTAATCACTCAAATAGTCATCAATAAAATTATAATAGAGTCAAAGTTTTCTATTAACGAAGCTTTCATCTGTAGCATTCACTCAGTATTTAAATTTATTCAACAACCAATTTAAGCTAAGTTTCCATTGTACAATACTTAAAATTCTGAATAAATATGTACGATAATGTATGATAATAGACTGAATATATAAATTAAATACAATTCTGGCCAATAACAGCCAGGATTCACTAGAGTTTGACATTAAAATTTAAAATATTTACAGTTTTCCGATACTCTACTCTGGATATTGTATATCGGAAAACTGTAAATATATTATATTAGATTATATTGTATTGTATTCTATTGTATATGTATATATATATATATATAAGCTCGGAATCATATTTCGGTATTTCCCCTTTCAATAAATTAGAGCAAGCAAGCAATATAAGAACAGGGGCCTAATGGCCGTGTGATTATGGCAGTGGCTCTCGGTGCTATAAGTTTCGGGTTCGAGTTGACACCTACCCCCCCCCTCCCCCTCAGCCATGTATGTTTGTAGTAATTCAAAATCCACTTTATATCGTTGGTCCCGATCTAATATGACTCTAGAGAGTTGGGCGCAGGGCTGACAACACTACCCCGTAAAAATAAAAACATCTCCTGTCTCGAAATGTTCCAGCAGGCAGACGGCTTCGGCCCACCATGGGACTGTTGCGCCACTGATAATGATGAATATAAGAACATTTTGGAAACATACAACATTATGCAAATGATTTTACGAATTACATAATGGATTACGAATTACATAATGGATAACGGCTTAGTTTCACAGCGTTATATCAGATCTTAACTTAAATGTTCGGTTAACGTGGTTGACTACATTGAATTGAACCTTAATATTCTAGATAATGAGATGGGGATAATGGGATAGCATGGATGAGCAACGAGCTTATGAAGGACAAGAAGATAACTTAGACAATGACGACTGATTTCATGTGAGTGTATGAAAATTAGCAGCTGAATAACTGATAAAAGTTTCTGGAATGATTCAAAATTTGTTAAATCATATTAAAAAAGTTATTACAATTCGCCGAACGATAAACAATATAGTTCATAACCACAAAGGAATTTATGGAGAGAAAAAAATGCGACAATTTTTTGCAAATTTTAGAGAATTAAAAAATTATTTTAATGCATATTTGTTCTTAAAAAAGAAGCTATTAGAAAGAAGAATTTATTCATTTCGTAGCATTTATTAAAAAGCAAGAAAGAATATTTTTTTTTTTTTGTTCTGAATTATTATTAGTTTTGTCTTAAACTGTTCGGGAAATTGGCTGATAATCCAGACTGTGTGAAATATAGCCGTATTTTCTTTTTATATATTTTCGATGGCATCACTATCATAAATTTTATCAAAATTCTAAAAGTAATTAATTTAGTAATTAATCTAATCTTTGCATCATTTCAAGTGTTATTAAATTCTAAACACAGATCTTAACCTATGTTTGAACAATCTCACGTTTATTTGTTAGCTTCAAAAATTTTGGGGATATCACGGATCTCATACCCTCATGTTTGCACACGATAATAATAAAGATTATGAAATTCATTAATTAAATCATTAATAAATTATTAATGAGCGAAACTACTAATAAATTAAATCTGTAAATTATATTCTACGACATGCATAAGAAAAGAAGTATGTTGAAGAATTTTAACAATTGTTC